CAATCTGCTCAGAAGAGGTGGCCTCAGGGGTCGTGGCCTGGATAGGCTTCTCTCCCTCCCCAGCTCCTCCCTGCACCCCTTCCCGCCCCCACAGCAGCTCCCACACCAGCGGGCAGCTTGGAGCCGGCTCACTCTGCCCCAGGCTGAGCCACCAGGGGCTCTTGGCTGCAGGTGTCAGCTACTGGGCCTCAGCATGAGAAGTGCTGACCTGGACGGCTGTGTTGACCAAATTTAATGCAAGGCACAGATTTCAAAACACCAGGAGCCACACTCGCAGGCACTCTTGTCCCCACCTTGCCCGCCCTCTGCCTCAACCCAGGGCACAGCAACACCACTACTGCTCTGAGTTGCAGCTTACTGCGTGGTTTTGTCCCTGAAAAGGTCCTGCTTCCCACTGCACTCTTTCAGAATTTTCTTAGGGGTCAATGGTCTCCGGAATGGCAGGATCTTCCCTGTGTAAGACCACAGCGGGGGGCAGCCCTGTGGGCCCCTTGCCTCCTTGATTCTCTTGGGAGCTGTAAGGCAGCACCCCACACAGCCAGAGGGAAGGACAGCAGCACTTCTGTGGGAACAGTGGACAGCCGATGAGCTGCCACCACTGCCATCGTGGGTGGAGACACCCCGCTCAGTAGGGGTGGTGACAATTGTCAGGGCTCTCGCAGCCCCGCGACCTCACCAGCCCAGGGCCAGAGTGCGTGTGTACCACAGCTCTTCACCAGACTCTCTTCTGAAACACCGGCCAGTGAGAGGCAGGAGGGCCCAGCCTCCACGACGGAGGCTTAGCAGCGACACCAGAAGCCGGAGCAGCCCTCGACAGAAACCCGTGGGGCAACAGCACAATAACCAGCCCAAGGTCCCAAATGACAAGCAGTTATGGAAAAGGCCACAGAAGCGCAGTCTGCTACTAGTCACAGCAATTTGCCACAAAGTATGAGGGTGCCCCAAGATGAGGAGTTGTGACTGGGAGGCAAGATGGGAAGTTACAGTGGCTTAGGAGATAGCTTGAGGGTCTAAGCACCTGCCTGGCAAGTGCAACAACCTGGATTTAATCCCTGGTACTGCATGTGCCAGCCCCTGGTGCCCTGAACTGGCCATGGAGACTGGGCATGTGGCACATGCCTATAACCCCAGCACTGGGGAAGTTGAGACAGGAGGATCACTAGGAGTCTCAGAAAATAAACAAATAACAAATGATTTAATTTTTTTTTAATTGGGAAGTTATAGCTGAGCAGGCCATAGCAAATCCCTCTGAACTGAATACACTGAATAAATGAAATGTGGAGTAAGCCATCTTTTTACTAAAGGGGACACAGTTACCAGAAGGATGCCTGAAAGGACATCAGTATACCTCTGTCATCATTTTGATTGCTTCATGTTGGACTCTGTATATACTTGTCCTCAGAACAGAGGGAACAATGCATTCCCCCTTGAAAATCTATTAGGAAAAATGTTAGCATGAACAAACCAGTTATCCCATTATTAAGGAGAGGTCCAGCTTAGAAAATGTTCACCCATCCTTCTCCTGTTAAACCCACTATAGAGGGCCAGCCTGACAGCTCAGCAGACTAAAGTGCCTGCTTAGACAGAGTGCAGCAGCCAGGGTTCGATCCCCCCGGCATGCTCTGCCGGCCCCATCCCTGGGGCACACTGAGACAGCGATTGAGACTGGGTGTGGTGGTGCATGCGCCTGTAATCCCAGTGCTTGGAAGGCTGAAAACAAGAGGATCGCTATGAGTCTGATCTATGTGGCTAGATCCTATAGACCCAGATCCTGTAGACCCCATAGACCCCGTAGACCCTGTAGACACTGTCCTAAATACAGAAAAAAAGAAAAGCCCACTGTAAAGGTAATGCACTCACAGAACGTGCTAAGGTGTGGCAATAAATGCATCAACCCTACAGCAGTAATAGTGAACCTGTTAGAGATGAGGACCCAAACTGCAACCCCAAGCCCTCTTACTTACTGCAGAGTGCCAACGCTGAGTTAAAGCAGAGTGCTCGGCTACCGGGTGGCCTGGGACAGCCTGACTGGTGCACCGGCAGAGCTGCGCATCCTGCTGGTACAGTGTAACACTTCTGCCACCACTGCCCTACGGTGTCCTTGCGTGGTCACTGTGCACTTGGTCTGTGAGCTACGAGTTCAGCTACCAGCAAACTGACAGATGCCACTCTGGAGGGCTGACATCACTGCTTTAATCATCAGGAAGATCTTAGAGGTGGGGCTGATCTTTCCCCATTCCACCCAGGAGGAAACTGAGGCACAGTGAGTACAGGTGAGGTGCCCAACGTGATGCAGCTTGCAGAGGGGAGCAGGGCTGAAGCTTCTTGGCTAAGCCTGAAAGGAGGGAGGAGATGCCACAAGGCATGGCAGGGCAAGGCGCGCAGGGGCAGCGCGCAAAGGCCCAGGACTCAGCTCTTACCAGAAAGACCACTCTGCCTCTCGCCACCTGCTCCCGGAATGGCTGAGCAACTGGAGGGAGAGACCACATGTATGAAAAAGCCACAAAGCAGGAAAGCATTTCAGGAATGCCATTTGCTAGGGAGGACAGGACAGGCGAGGCCAACTCCCTCCTCAGGAGTTGGCATCCATCCTTATGGTGCCAAGGGAAAGGCACATGCGCTCTTCTGTCGAATTTAGTGCTTTCAGTAAAGAGCACAGCATGGGCTGTGTTTTGTCTTTTTGAGACAGGGTCTCGCTATGCAGTTCAGGCTGGTCTTGGGCTCACTTTGTAGCCCAGGCTGTTCTCGCATTCAGAAGCATGCTCCTGCCTCAGCCTCCTGAGGGCTGGGATCACAGGCATGCGCCGCCACGCCTGGCCTCATGGCATGGCTTTTCAAAGTTTGCCATCCTGCATATTCATGCTGGTACTTAAACTAACCTTTCCAGGAACTCCATGTTTAAAACAATGAATCCTACCTGACCCGTCTGTCTTAACCAGAGTAAGTAACCATTTCCCTGTCCCCATCAATTCTCTTCCAAAGAAGTGACAGCTGCAATTTTATACCCTTAATCTACGCAATACAAGAACAAGGAAAAAACCCCACAACATTTTCTCATGAAAGGGACACATCATATATAGTAATTTACTTTTTATTATCATCATTATGAATAGTGAAGTGCACAGGTCAGCTTCCAGGCAGCATAAAAATGATCTTGTACATACAGGACACCTGAGTGTAATGCTATGACATGCTCTTTTATTTTGTGAATGAATACGACTTCCCAGGATATTAAAAGGTAACCACACAGGTTAAAGCTGCACAACTACAACTACACAATCTTCAAGCAGTTGAAAATCACCAGCTGCTGAGGTAATGGGAGATCCGCTAGCGCGGCATTGATTTTCATTTTATTTTTGGTACTGGGAAGTGTGCTCAAGGCCTTTGTGCTAAGTGACATCTCTGGTCCTTTCAATGTTTTTAAAATGTTGAGACAGGGCTTTTGCTAAGTTACTAAATTGCCCCACCTGGCTGGAACTTTTGATCCTCCTGCTTCAGCCTCCCAGACAGCGGGGGTTACAGGTGTGCACCAGCACACCTGGCTAACCTGGTCTCTATAACTACACAACATCAGGTAGAAATTCTGTCTTCCCCTTCCACCTAGGGGTCACTGAAAAGAAAAGACTAAACTGGCTCACCCGCTCTGAGGGCCAGCGAGCAGGTGTGCGGGGCTCACTCTGGGACGGGCAGCTCACTCCAGCACGTGCCGCAGCACCCCCGGGTCTGCCTCTACCGCCTGCAGGCCCTTGTGCAGGCTCAGGAAGGTGGCCTGCTTCCCGTAGCGCTGCCGCCAGCGCACAAAGGCCTCCACGACCTGTGACTGGACGTTGTGGGGGTGGTTGGCCTTGCAGCGGTAGATATCCGTCTGTGACATCCCCAGCGACAGCACCACGGGTTCCCACTCGGCGCCCAGCTTCTGGGCCAGCTGGTTGATCTGCTGGTCCGACGGGCAGCTGTTGAGGATATGTGAGGGGACCCCGGACAGCTGGTCACCTAGGGAAGAAGAATAACAGGTGAACAGAGGCACCAAACACACCGACCCGATGGTGACCTGACGGGGCAGAGGTGGGGACGGTGGGGCCTGGAGACCACGACACCTCTGCTTCCCTGTGGCATGGTGCTGCCTGGCCCTCCTAGGAGCTGCTCAGTACAACCAGGCGGCAGGCTTAGGAAGTGCCCTTTGTCTCCCCAGCTTCCGTCATTTACCTTTCATTGTGCTCTATTTAGATCTGCGGTTTCTTATGAGAGAAGCCACATTTGATTTTAGCTTGCACATCTGACTTACAGGAAAGAGGGAGGCAGACATTTGGCAAAAGGGAAAGGGACCAAGGGATGGAGGGAAGGGAGGGTGGGAGGAGGGGGTGAGGGACTGGGATGCACCATGCCCCTGAGCTGGCTCCCAGGAGGACCAGAGTCATGCGCTGCCAGCATAACCAAAGCAACAGAAGGACATGAGTGCCTGCCAGGTAAGCACAAGGTCCTGAGCTCGATTCCCAGTACTGCCAAAAATAAATTAATAATAATGATGATGATGATGATGGAGGAGGAGGAAGGAGAAGATGTGCCCTTTAGCATCTATGAAAATGTCTACTACAGAAAAGTGGACAACAAGAAAACCACAAATAAGCTGAAATCCTACTACAGTACCCCCGCTGATTCACAATTTGGCCTATTTCTCTGATATCACAAATGTGCTGAGGACAGCCCTGTGCTAACTGCTTGTGACACGCCCCACTCCTGCCTTGTACCATTAGCCACATCGGGATGCGGGATGTGGGATGAGGGATGAGGGCGGGCTGCAGCCCATGTTCGCCTGTGGGCCTGAGAGCTTGCGCTTCCCGCAGGGCTGGAGGGGTGGCTGGGGAACTGAACCAACTGGCTCCCCTCTCTCAGTGCTTCAGCAGGAAATGCACCAAGAGTGGTCCATTTGCTAAGGGAAGCTGGAGCAGAGAGGCCTCCTGCAAAAAAAAAAAGGAAGCCACAGGGGCCCCTGAGGTGGTAGGAAGGGAGAACGGCAGAGCTGAGCGTCCAGGCTGAGCCTGCAAGAATGCAAGTGGGTGCTGCAGAGGAGGACGAGAGCTAAACTCACACTCCCTGATCTAGATCCCGCTGAGAACACCAGCTGCAGCCCTGCAGCAGCGATGGGAAGGGTCTGAGGGGGCTGCGAGCCCCAAGACAATGGCGCTGGGTATGGGTTAGGCTCGGCACCACAGGGCCTGGGTCCATCCACTTCACATTCCCTGGCCTGCTGTTTCCGTTTAGGATTCAAGAGGAAGGCAACGGGCATCCTCTTAAAGGGCTCGATGCCTTCCACTGTCTCTGCCCTGCCGTCCCTCAACCTCTAGGCAGTTCACTGCCAGGGCCTTATGGACAAGTCACAGACACCGTGCAGAGCTTTTTCCAGTGTTTGTCAACACTTCAGGATTTTCATTTGCTATACATTTGATCAACACACACACCTGTGGGGTTCGGTGGGATGATACAGAGCGCACTAAGCAAATTCCACTTCCCTCCCCACATCCCTTCCCCACACTGGCACCCAGTCCTCAGGGACCACAACTCAACTTTCGGGACAACTTTTAGCTTCCATATACAAGACAGAACTTGTGCTACTCATCTTTCTGGGTCTGGCTTGTTTAACGTCCCCGAGTTCCGTCCACTCTACTACTACAAATGATGGGATTCCATTCTTCTTCACAACTAAGCAGTACTCCGCTGCTTACATATACTGTATTTCTCTCACACGTTTATCGGTTGACGAGCTCTAGGCTGATTCCATCCCAAGCTACTGTGAAAACTGTAATTTGAAAAAAAGAACTAAGAACCAATTAGAATAATGATGATACCACTAGGTAGTATTTTACATTGGCAGTAACGCTTTTCTGGCTTTCATAAAATGAGCAAATTTAAAAATTCAAAGAGCACAAAAAAGTACAAAGAAAAAACAAAGTACATCGTCTAATAGCCCACCACGGTGTCCACAGTTGGTGAACGATATTCTGGACATCTCTTTCTTCACATACACTGTTCAAAAGAATGGCAGGCACAAATGATCTCATTTCAAACCATAATATGAAAGCTCTTCTCGAATAAAAGTGATGCATTGTTGTTTAAATTTAACAGAAGAAAGAGCAGAAATAAATTGAATATTGTTCTGACTAGCAGTTAAATACTTAAAAACACATACCCGTGATGTAACACAGGAAATTCTGAAAACTAACCATTTTCATATACTACCAATGCTTTAAAATTACCACTTTACATACCCTCTGCTCGCCTTCACATCTCTTGATTTTTCTTACTTATATCACTTTTCTCACAGCCTAATACATTTCTTTTCTTTCCTTTTTTTTTTTTTTTTGGAACCGGGGATTGAACTCAGGCCCTTGCATTTGCCAGGGAAGCGCTTATTCCATTGGGCCATCTCCCCAGCCCCAAAATGCATTTCTATAACAACTGTCCTCAACCTGTTCCCCACCCCCACGCTGCCGAGGACCACATTACAAGGGAGACTGCTTGCTCTGCAGTGGTCTGGCTGTTATTACTAGTTTAAAGCTATGGCTTTTCTACTCCTGGGTCCAGGGCTTTGAATGAAGTCAACTGGTCGATTTCAGCAGACTGGTCTTTCTAGTGTGACCTCTAGAAATGCTCAGGGTCACACTATTGCTTAGGTTCTTTCTGGTCAAGACTGCTATTGCCTTCGCAATGTAATACTTTCACATTTAGGAAGCCAGTTTTATATGTTTAATACTGTACTTTTCAATTATGAGTATATATTCATTGTTATTTAAATAACTTATTCCAGGGAGGGTCAAATAGCTCAGCGGATTAAAGCACCTGCTTAGGCAGATGCAGGGGCCAGAGTTTGATCCCCAGGGCTGCTGTGCGGGCCCCGCCCCTGGGGCATGCTGAGATGGCAACTGAGACTGGGTGTGGTGGCTATGATCCAGGCTCTTGGGAGGCTGCAAACAGGGGGATCACCACAAGTGCAATCTAGTAGTGAGACCCCGAAAACCCTGTAGACCCTTCCCTAAAATACAAACATAAATAAATAATAACCCTATTCCTCTTACAAGTGTGTTGGCCTTATTCCTATTTTCTGGAAGACAATGCCTGTGTGGCGAATTCCAATGCCAACTCGGTTACCTAACATTCTGTATTCTTCGCTTTTTCTGTCTGGGCTCCCAGCGCTGAGGCTTTAGAGCAGGGTACTCTGCCATCTGAGAAATGTTTTTCCAGGATGCAGCCTGGGCTCTGGCTAGAGTCAGCCCTGTTATTTACTCCCTAATTAATGAAGCTCACTGGTACATTCCCGATGAACACAATGGTCACACTCATCACAGAGAATCTACGTGCACATGATCCATCTGGATTCTTTTTTCCCATTCTCCTCCCCCTCTTCAACCCCTCTTCTGCTCCTTATTTACAAAATCTTTCTTTCCATTTTCTCCATTCCTTTTCTTTTTCCTTTCTTCCTTTCCTCCCTCCCCTCCCCAGTTCCCCTTCTCATCTGGACATTTTCTTCCTGTTTCACAATACCTACTACATATTTTGGTCCTTATTTATGCTTTTGGTTTGTAGGGTCAGTTCCTAATTCCCTTCAGAAAAGTCTTCCCGCCCCACCTCTCTGCATTCTTTCTGGGCTCCGCAGGTAGGATGGGCTTGCGCATCCTCCCCAGCTCGCTTCTCGCTGGTTATTTTAACCTCTCCTTCTGATTACCGCCTGCTTTCCCCTCCGGCCACTCATGGGACCTTCCGCTATACCTATCAGATTTTGGTTTTGTTTTTCTGGTTCTAACCTGCATTGTGTTCTTACTCTCAATTTCTTGTCCTGTGCTTCCTTCTAAAAATTCTGTTCCACTTCCTGTCCATGAAAAGATCACTACCAAACACACAGCAAAGAACAAGTGTTGGTGACAATGGGGAGAAATCTGAACTCTGGGAGCTGTTAGCAGGAAGTAAAAGGGCGTCCTTCTGGTTGTGGGGCAGTGTCAATAAATGAAAAAAAGCTAGTCTACATGCAGCCAGCCACTAGTGCGTGAATTAAAAGGAGGGACTTCAAGAGATATCTGCATACCTATTTATATAGGATCATTACCACAACCTCCTGGAGTAGAAGCAACCTGGGCGTCCACTGACGCATGAACAAGTAAACACAATGAGAAGCACCCCCAGTGGGATATTATTCGGCCTTAGAAAGACAAGCAACCTTCACACACGCTGCCACGCATGCGTCAGCATGAGGGCGTCGCGCGGAAGGAAGCAAGCCGGTTGCACAAGGACACACACTGTATGCCTCCGCCCAAGTGAGGTCTCTGGAGGACACACACTCTCGAGGCAACATGTAGGTCTGCAGTTGCCTGGGGCTGCAGGGGGAGGGATGAAGGGTTAGTGTCTAACAGGTAAAGAGCTTCAGGGGCTTTAGTCTTTTTGAACTTGAGACAAATTCAGGGTGGCCTTGAGCTCACTCTGTCCCCCAGGCTGGTCTCAAACTCACAGTGGTCCTCCTGCCTCAGCCTCCCAAGGGCTGGGAGTACAGGCATGCACCATCACACTTGGCTCAGAGTTGCACTTTTGCAAGATGGCAAGAGTTCTGGATACTAGCTGCAAAATAACATAAATATACTTAACACCGCTGAGCTATACACTTAAAAATGGTTGAACTGGTATATCTTATATTGTGCATATTTTTACCCAAATTATAAGAAGTAGCTAGACCCCCATGGTCACTGAACTCTTCATAGTCTACCATCCTTGGAGACTGGGCTTGGGTTCCCTTCTGCCAGGCTGGTGGTCAGTCTACTGGTAAAAGCTGTGTTCCTCACTTTTGCTCCCCAACCAAAGGACTTCTCAGCGGCTGCTACTCAGCGTCTCTGGCCAGGCTTCTGCTTGCTGACAGAAGCTGATGATCTGTGACACTGCCCCACTTTTGGGGAGACCCTCTGTCTTTCTCCTCAGTTACAGACTGAAGCTGGCTGCAGCTTTCTATGCCC